CAACTTAAAGTATAATAATAATAAATAAATTTAAAAAATAAAATAAAATAAAAAATAAAAAAATAAAATAAAATAAAATAAAAAGAAGGGAAGCTGCCGGCCATGGCGTACCCTGCCCCAGCCTAACACTGGGAACCTGTGTGGGGCGCCAGAGTCCGGAAGAGAAGCTTCGTGCTCAGCAGGACCGTGGGCGCCAGCCAGACAACCAGGAAGCGCAGCCCTCCCCTTAGCTGACTCTGGTGCTCTCTTTAGGCGGTCTTCACTATCAACTGCACAGCGGACAGAGGCAGAGGAACGCAGAACCTTCTCACACAGCAGGATAAAAAGGTGAATTTGGAGCTGACATGCAAATATATCTTGTCATATATTTCTCTGGCTTTGATGTCAGAGTAATATTGGCCTCACAGAATGAAGTAGTGTTCCTCCGCTATTTTTTGGAAGACATTGCTAAGTATTGGTATTATTTCTTCCTTAAATGTTTGTTAGAATTTACACGCGAAGCCATCTTGGCTTGCTTCGTATTTCTGGGGAGATTTTAAATTACTAATTAAATCCCTTTTCATGCTATAGTCCTAATTCGATTTTCTAATTACTAATTATTTATTTATTCATTTATTTTGAGACGGAGTTTCGCTCTTCTTGCCCGGGCTGGAGTGCAATGGCGTAATCTCCACTCACCACAACCTCCGCCTCCCGGGTTCAAGTGATTCTCCTGCCTCGGCCTCCCGAGTAGCTGGGATTGCAGGCATGTGCCACCACGCCCGGCTAATTTTGTATTTTTAGTAGAGACGAAGTTCCTCCATGTTTGTCAGGCTAGTCTCAAACTCCCGACCTCAGGTGATCCACCCGCCTCGGCCTCCCAAAGTGCTGGAATTACAGGCGTGAGCAACTGTGCCCAGCCTGTTTCTTCTTGAGTCAGTAATTTGTCTTCTAGGAATTTTTCCATGTTATCTAAGTTGTTTAGTTTGTTGACGTAAAGTTGTTCAAAATGTATTCCTTTTAATTTCTATAAGGTCAGTATTAATAACCCCTCTATAATTTATGATTTTGATAATCGGTGTAGGCCTTTCTATTTTTCTTGGTCAGTCAAGCTAAAAGATTGTTAGATTTTTTTTCACCTTTTCTGTGAACCAACTTTTGATTTCATTGATTTTTCTGTTTTTAATTTCATTGATTTTCTTCTACTCTAATTTTCATCATTCCCCTCCTTCTGCTTGCTTGTATTAAATACACCATTTTAAAACTTCAGGAATAACAAATGATTTGTTTCATAAAGGAAGATTTGAAACCTTACACACGTAGAAATGCTTATGATATTGCAAGTAGCAGTCATTTCGACTAGTTAACCAGAAGGAAATTTGGTATGCTGAAACCAAACACGTTTTTTTTTTGTGCCGGGCTTTTATTGATTTTGAAAGTATCAAGTCTAGTTTGTAGGAAGCTGTTTATTGCATGAGCAGTTAATTTTTTAATGTTTTAATATATAGAATGCCGATTTTCACTAAATCCCACAAGTTTTTTTTTTTTTCAAGCTTAAAGGAATGTATGTATTAACCAGCACATACACTATCCTCTTTGTGCTTTGTCTCTGTTAATCCTTATAAGAGCACCACGAGTTAGATACTGTTTTATGCCCTTTTTATGGAAATAGAATCTTAGAGTGTACATTTAAGTAGCTCTCCCAGGTATAACCAGTTGGAAAAGTGACGGAACCTAGGTCTCTCAGATTCCAGAGATTGCACACACAAATACTATATCACACTGCTTACTGCTGTGAGTTCAGCAGAGAATTCCTTATTTACACAGAAATAACAAAACTGATAGTATCCAGGATAATTGGCAACAGTTCACAAACCCTTTTTACCCCCATTTTGGTGATTTTAAGTGGGGTCATCTGTCCACTAAATTAATCAGATCTTAGGCTGGTCGCACTTCTGAAATTGTACACCAAGTTTGTATGTAAAGGTACTTTCCCAGGGAAAAATATCTGTAGATGTAATCAAATTATCAAAAGAGGGTTAGGTCCACTACCCAGCATTCCCTGGATGATAAGAGAATGCCATGGAGCCTACACCCTTCCAGTGGGAAGAATAGTGTCGATTTCTTTGTCATTTATGTTCTAGTTTTTAATCAGAGTGTTCTAGTCACACACACATAGTTAACTATGAGGAGTATCTGCGGATGCTGGTTCCTCCACTTCAAACGAGTCAGCCAACTCCAGCTGAAGAACTTTATACTTTGAACTATGTGTTTATAAATGATGGGCAGGTAGGATAACTAGGACAGTGTATGTGCTCATTAATACGTACTTCTCCTTTAAGCCTGAAAAAAAAATGAACTTGTGGAATTCATTGAAAATTGACATTATAAATATTAAAGTTTTAATATTTAGAATTATAGATTTTTAGTTGGGATGGTGGTATGAGGAAGGTCAGCCAGTTCTCCAACTGTGGTGGAAGCATAAGGGAGTCGTTTAACCTAGTGGTGTGAACCTACAGAAAGTAGTGATGGTGGACTGATGGATAAAGGGAGATGATTCTAGATCACGGAACATGATATAGATTCTAGACATGAGATTCTAAACTCTGTTTGGTACCAAGGTGCATATTGCTAAGACAGTCTGTGATCATGTACTCTCAAGAGGATCATATATTTCAGCTGTGTAGTGCCAATTTATGTGCCAGTTATGTTCCAGTTATAAATCAAAATGTTCTAATAACACACATAGTTAGTCCTGAGGACTATCTGCAGATGCAGGCTTCTCCATTTCGAATGAGTCAACTAACTCCACCTGAAGAACTTCATACTGTTGCCTATGTGTTTACAAATGGTGGGCCGGTAAGATAAATCTATTTCTGCCCTAATTGTGACATTCTTGGTATAATTATTTTCTCATTGGAAACATGAATATAAACTATATGTATTAATTCTCTTGATTTAAAAGATACAATATGACACAGGAAAACTTATGTGAACGTAAAATGGGAACTTTTTGATCCAAGAGTGGATTGATTGTACCAGGAACTGATGTTTTTAAGTTAAATTGAATTTTATTTTATTATTTCTTTCTTTTTTTTTTCTTTGAGACGGAGTTTCGCTCTTGTTACCCAGACTGGAGTGAAATGGCACGATCTCAGCTCATCACAACCTCCCCCTCCCAGGTTCAAGTGATTCTCCTGCCTCAGCCTCTGAGTAGCTGGGATTACAGGCATACGCTACCACACCCGGCTAATTTTTTGTATTTTTAGTAGAGACAGAGTTTCTCCATGTTGGTCAGGCTGGTCTCGAACTCCCGACCTCAGGTGATCCACCCACCTTGCCTCCCAGAGTGCTGGGATTACAAGCATGAGCCTTCGCGCCTGGCCAAACTGATGTTTTTAATTATCACATTGAATGGTCATAGTTGTTCTGCGGATGTGTATTACTATTTACCGTTTAATAAGAAATCAAGGCTGACAGTGGTCAAAAGGCTTGTCCCACGTGACACATGATAGGAGATACAGCCAAGGTTTGAACGCATATCTTTCTTACTCCAGAGTCTATATTCTTTCCCACTCCCCACAATAACTACTTTAGTATCAAGATTGCATTCTACAGTCTCTGTTTCTGTTATCCAAGTCACTAGTGCTCTGTCTAAAACAATGACTAAGTATTTCTCGTGGAATATGAAGCACTAGGTGATGTTGCCATGATTGGATTGTCCTAATGGAGATCTTAATGTGTTGTGTATGAGAGAGACATACTAACTTCACTATTAAAACATGAAGACAAAGGGAATTGCATCTGCACTCGTGGAAAAGACCGTTGGTATAAGGACGCAAATAGACAATAACCTCTTCTGTAACAAAACCAGACTAAAGTAATTCTCCCACATTCCCCAAACTCCTCAATTAGTTAGGCTTTTCCTTAATTTTCTGTGCCTTTATTTTCTCTTTTTTAACAATAGACATAAGAAACACACCTCACTCATAGGGATTGGTCAAGGATTGAGTTAATACATGTAAAGCATTTAGAACAGTACCTGGAGGGTAGTAAATGTTCAGTGAAAATGTTTTCACACATTCTCCACTCCGCTTTTACAGGAAATGAAAATGGTTTGGAAAAATTTTTAATCAAAATTATATATTTCGGTATAATTTAATGAAAATTATACCGAAATATATAATTTCATTAAATATGCAGGAGCATACTCTTTCTTTTTTCAACTTTTATTTTAAGTCCTGGGGTATGTGCAGGATATGCAGGTTTGTAACATAGGTAAACGTGTGGCATGGTGGTTTGCTGCACTTATGAACCGATCACCTTGGTATTAAGCCCAGCACCCAGTAGCTATTTTTCCTGATGCACTCCGTCCCCCCACTCCTCCCCCGACAGGCCCCAGTGTGTGTTGCCCTGCCCGACGTGTCCATGTGTTCTCATCATTCAGCTCCCACTTGTAAGTAAGAACATGTGCTGTTTGGTTTTCTTTTCTTGCGTTAGTTTGCTGATGATAACGGCTTCTAGCTCCATCTATATTTCTGTAAAGGACATGATCTCATTCCTTTTTATGGCTGCATAGTATTCTGTGGTGTATATGTACTACATTTTCTTTATCCAGTTTATGATTGATGGGCATTTGGGTTGATTCCACATCTTTGCTATTGTGGATAGTGCTGCAATGAACATACTTGTGCATACTTTGTAATAGAATGAGTTTTATTTCTCCTGGTATATACCCAGTAATAGGATTACTGGATCAAATGATATTTCTGCCTCTAAATCTTTCAGGAATCACCACACTGTCATCCACATAGTTGAAGTAATTTACACTCCCACCAACAGTATAAAAGCAGTCCTTTTTCTCCACAACTTTGCCAGCATCTGTAGTTTTTTGACGTTTTAGTAATTGCCATTCTGACCGGCATGAGATGTTATCTCATTGTGGTTTCGAGTTGCATTTCTCTAATGATCAGTGATGTTGCACTTTTTTTCACGTTTGTTGCCTGCGTAAATATCTTCTTTTGAGACGTGTCTGTTCATGTCCTTTGCCCACTTTTTAATGTGGTTGTTTGGTTTTCTTTTGTAAATTAGTTTAAGTTTCTTGTAGACTCTGGATAGTAGACCTTTGTCAGATGGACAGATTGCAAAAGTTTTCTCCCATTCTGTAGGCTCTTCACTCTGATGATAGTTCATTTTGCTATGCATATGCTCTTTAGTTTAATTAGATCCCATTCGTCAATTTTTGCTTTTGTTGCCATGGCTTTTGGTATTTGTGTCATGAAATCTTTGCCCGTGCCTATGTCCTGAATAATATTGCCTATATTTTTTTTTCTAGGGTTTTTATAGTTTGGGGTTTTACTTTAAGTCTTTAATCCATCTTGAGTAAATTTTTGTATAAGGTGTAAGGAAGGGGCCCAGTTTCAATTTTTGCATACAGCTAGCCAGTTCTCCCAGCATCATTAATTAAACAGGGAATCCTGTCCCCATTGCTTGTTTTTGTCAGGTTTGTCAAAGATCAGATGATTATCGCTGTGTGATCTTATTTCTGAGTTCTCTATTCTGTCCATTGGTCCATGTATCTGTTTTTCTACCAGTACCATGCTGTTTTGGTTACTGTAGCCCCATAGTATAGTTCGAAGTTACGTAGTGTGATGCCTCCAGCTTTGTTCTTATTGCTTAGGATTGTCTTAGCTATTCTGGCTCTTTTTTCGTTCCATATGAATTCTTAAAAAGCTCCTTCTAACTTGGTGAAGAATGTCCTTGATAATTTAATGGGAATAGCATTGAATATCTAAATTGCTTTGGGCAATATGGCCATTTTCACAATATTGATTCTTCCTATCCATAAGCATGGAATGTTTGTCCATTTGTTTGTTTACTCGCTGATTCCTTGAGCAGTGGTTTATAGTTCTCTCTGAAGAGGTCCTTCACTTCCCTTGTTAGCCATATTCCTAGGTACTTTATTCTTTTTATAGGAATTGTGAATGGGAGTTCATTCATGATTTGTCTCTCTGCTTGCCTGTTTTTGGTGTAGAGGAATGCTAGCAATTTTTGCACATGAATTTTGTATCCTGAGACTTTGCTGGAGTTGCTTATCAGCTTAAGAAGCTTTTGGGCTGAGACAATGGGATTTTCTAGATATAGGGTCATGTCATCTGCAAACAAAGGTAATTTGACTTCCTGTCCCCCTTTTTGAATACCCTTTATTTCTTTGTCTTGCCTGATTGCCCTGGACAGAGCGTGCAATATTATGTTGAATAGGAGAGGTGAGGGAGGGCATCCTTGTTTTGTGCCAGTTTCAACGGGAATGCTTCCAGGTTTTTCCCATTCAGTATGACATTGACTGTGGGTTTGTCATATATGGCTCTTATTATATTGAGGTATGTTCCTTCAATACCTGGTTTATTGAGAGCTTTTAATGTAAGGGGATGTTGAGGTTTATCAAAGATCTTTTCTGCATCTATTGAGATAAGCATGTGGTTTTTGTCTTTAGTTCTGTTTATGTGATGAATTACATTCATTGATTTGCCTATTTTGAAACTACCTTGCATCCCAGGTATGAAGCCAACTTGCTCATGGGGGATAAGCTTTTTGATGTGCTGCTGGATTCAGTTTTCCAGTATGTTATTGAGGATTTTGCATCGATGTTCATCAGGAATACTGGCCTGAAGTTTTTATTTGTTGTATCTCTGCCACGTTTTGGTATCAGGGCGATGCTGGTCTCATAAAATGAGTTAGGTAGAAGTCCTTCATTTTTAATTTTTTGGCATAGTTTCAGTAGTAATATTACCAGCTCTTCTTGGTACCTCTGGTATCAGGAGCGTATTCTTCGGTTATCCTTTGATGAAAACAGCTTTTAGTTAATATACTATACCCTTCAATTTCATGTTTTATCTACCACTAACCTTGCAAAGCACGCCCTACCCCTACCTGAGTCCAAGATCAACATATTGGAATCTCCATAAGGTTGGAGGTGGGAAAATTTACCTTTTCAAACTATCCTACCCTTCACTATCTTTATGTATTATCTAATAAAGTATTAATCAGTATTTGCTAATACATAACTTTAAAGCACTAAAAGAGGCCAGGCGCGGTGGCTCACACCTGTAATCCCAGCACTTTGGGAGGCCGAGGCGGGAGGATCATAAGGTCAGGACATCGAGACCATCCTGGCTAACATGGTGAAAACCCGTCTCTACTAAAAATACAAAATATTAGCCGGGCGTGGTGGCAGGCACCTGTAGTGAGCCGAGATCGCGCCACTGCAATCCAGCCTGGGCGACAGAGCGAGACTCTGTCTCATAAAAAGAAAGGCAGTAAAAGGTAAAATAAGGTATTTATTTTTTCTTTCCTCCCCTAACAAGTGCTGAGACAAAATGATGTGTACTTCATGACAGAGAGAACCATATGTTTGTTCCTTTGTATGATGAAAGCCACTCATTCCCCAAGCATTCTGATTTATCATGACTGGACCATGTTTGAGTTTGGATAACACCTTGTATTTTACCTTCCCTTGTTTCACTGAGACTAGATTAAAATTAGCTTGCCTTTTCTAAGAGCATTGTGTGTGTTCAGTGATGAGAAATCTTTGACCTATGACTAAAACTTACATTAATGATATAAATGCATGGCTGTGTATGCATATGAAGGCTATGACTTTGCAATGGTTGGATTTGTCTTTAATGGAATATGTTCACTGATGTTTTTCAGCAAATGAGGAGTGATGAAGTAAATCCGGTTGCAAAAGGACATCAAAGCAAAAAGAAACATTCCAGAAAATCTAAGAGACACTCTTCATCTAAGAGAAGGAAGAGTATGTCCCTGTGGTTAGACAAACAGGAAGGTGAGGGGGAATCCAATCTTTGGGCCTCAACCATGTCAAAGGACATTTGTCCTTGAGGGATCAACAGATATGAGCACATTTACAAGTGGAAGGGCAAGGTTCTAATTAGGTGCAACAATTTGGAGTTGCTGCAAGCATTAGATGAATGAAGGAGGTTCCTGAGGCAGAAGGGGATGGTGGGCTCAACAAGAGTTTGGGTCTACTCACTTTCTGCCTGTCCTCACATTCCGCTCTAACCCAGTGCAGTCTGGCTTCTAATGTACTCCAATGAAACTACTATCATCAAGGTCACCAGTGTTTGCTGCATTTTGGCATTAATGTCTCAGCAGCATGCAACACAGTTGTTTACTTCCTCCTGCACGGAAAGTTTCTTGGGTCCCCAGACACCTGGATTTGTTACCCTGTTACTAGAGACTCATTTTCCTTCTCTTTTTTGTTTTTCTCCTCTGCCTTCCCACCTCTAAATATTTCAGAGCCACGAAGCTTGATCCTAGGGTCTCTTCTCTTCAATATAGTATCTCTTAAGGTAATGCCATGCTGTCTTAGAATTTTAAATGATTCACACTAAAAGAACTCTCACCATTATACTTCTACACTACAACTTGTTCCTGAAATCCAGACTCAAATACAACTACTCGCATGATATCTCTACTGGCTGTCTAATAGGCATCTAAAATTCAACTCCCTCTACATGCTCAAATTTCTGACCTCCCTCTCTCCAAAAATACTATACTTTTAGCCTTCACTATTTCAGTTAAAGACACTATCCATTGGGTAAAACATCCACAAAGGTGTAACAACCAGATGTTCACAGGTATGGGGAACTGAGGAGTGCTGGTTTTCATAGTTTGCAGCTATCCATAGTGCAAGTAATCCCACCATGGCCTAGTTCAAGCTGTCAACATAAGGTCACTGAACCAGATTCAGGAAGAGTTGGCAGCACTCGGCTCTCACAGTCAGTTTCCTAACATCTCCTGAATACCCCTGGTGTACTTTCACTTAGTAGTTCAAGTCAAAATACTTAAAGTCACTTATGAGTTATCTTATGATTCTTTTATTGCTCTCTCATTTCCCATCTCTTAGCAAGTCCAGCAGTCAATGCCCAGTATAAATTCTGCATCCAACCGTTTCTCTCTATGCCTCCAGTGCACACTGCCGTGATCTCTGTCCAGGCTAGTACAATATCTTCTTAGCTCTGTGTTTCTAATCTTCACTCATCTATCGCATACTCTCTAACCTTGTGGCTAGATAATTATGTCAGCACGTAAATCACATCATGCCATGTCCCTTCTGAAAACCCATCTTCAACTCTCCTAAGCACTCAGAACAGATCCTGAACTGACTTTGGTCTGCAAGCCTCTGCACGGCCTGGCCTCTGTCACCCTCTCCTAACACAGGTCCCATCCATTTCCTCCTGGCTCTCTCTGCCTCTGTCCTTCAGCTCTGTAGTGCCCTGTCCATCCCCACTCCATCCCCTACCCTTGGCCTCACCGCAGCCTGGAACTCTCCCTCTGCCTCTGCACAGGAGGCTCTGCTTCTTCCTCTAAGCCCTGCCCAGTGGCACCTCTTCAGAAGGCCCTGCCAAACCAGCCACAGCCCCTGGGGCTCTCTCTGCTGCTCTCTCCCACAGACCTGTGGACTGCTTTTCCAAACCAGCCCAATGCTGCTTGTTTCATTTGCTCTTTGTGCATGTACTGTCTGACTGCCCCATGAGGATGTGAGGTCCACAAGGGCAGGGAACATTGCTCTCTGGGGTGTTTACTGCTGATCCCCAGCTCCTGGCATGCTGCCTGCCACAGACGATGAATAAATGAAAGAGGCATCAGACCTGGAGTGAAAAGAAAGTCACTTTTTCTAGACAAAAGGGCAGGATCTATAGAATCATATAAAACCACAGATGTGTGAGGATGGAGTAGAGATAAGAGTGTTCAACTCCAATAGCCACATCTATTTTCTCAGAATATTTGGGGTAGAAAGGAAGCAGGTTAAGGAGGGTCACTTAGTCTGGCTTCCTGCTGCACACAGCATGGTATTTATAGGTGAACTATACAAATAATATCAAGTGAGAATTGTAAAGGGCAGAAAGATGATACAAAATGATGAATACAAAAACCTGTGAATGTTTATTCTGCTGTCGTACTTCTTTACTGCATGTATTCATTACGCCAAGAGGTAAAAAGGTAGTTTTATTGTATTATCTGACCTGATCTCTGTTCGCAAGATCGGAGATTTCCACGTGGTAAATCTGTTTCATGAAATAAATAATTCTTTAGAAACTGATGAATACATAGCTGTCCCTCTGGAGGAGGATGGGACAAAACACACCTATCTTGCAGCTCAACCTCTTCATTTGGTTTCCAGATGCTAGCGTCACTCACAATGTCCATGAAGAGAAGATAAAAAATGGCCAACCAGCAGACAATAATGTCATTGCAACTGTTCCAACAGCGCTTATTAATATGGCAGCAGCTGGAATTTCATCCATGAGTACCAGGGACCAGTGTAAGTTTGCTCACTTGTTATACTGTCCTACGAGGATTCTACTATGCACCATATATGCATAGCGTCATGAGGGAAGAAGGTAATTTTGTTGTATTATCTTTTCTGGCTTCAATTTTAGGGTTCTCAGATTGCTACCTGGTATATCCTCCTTCTTTATGGCATACTGAGCATCAGTGGGGTTTGCCTGTGCAGTTGACATAATGCACTTACCTCACAGCTCAACCACTTCATTTGGTTTCCAGATGCTGCAGTCACTCACAACATCCATGAAGAGAAGATAAATAACAGCCAACCAGCAACTAATAACATCTTGTCAACTGCTCCACCATGGCTTGGTGCTATGGCAGCAGCAGGAATTTCGTCTACGAGTATGAGAGATCTGTGTATGTCTGCTTATTAATTGTACTGTCCTACTTGGTTTCCATAAGCAGGCATATTTTCATGAATTATAGAAGGTGGTTTTGTTGTATATTCTTTCCTAGCCTCAATTTGAGGGGTATCAGATGGCCACCTGGGATATCCTCCCCTGATTTTTCAGATAATTTCCTAGAAACTGCACAAAGAGGGATATACCTGTGGGGTTGACATAATGCACTTACCTCACAGCTCAACCTCTTCACTTGGTTTCCACACGCTACCGTCAATCACAATGTCCATGAGGAGGGGATGGAAAATGGTCAACCCCAACGAGATAATGTCGTGTCAAATGTTCTATCAGGGCTTATTAATATGACAGGAGCTGGTATTCCAGCGAGGAGTACCAGGGATCTGTGTATGTTTGTTTATTAGTTGTAGTGTCCTTGGTTTCCATATGCATGCGTAGTGTCATGAAGGGAAGAAGGTGGTTTTGTTGAATAATCTTTTCTGACCTCAACTTGAGTGGACTCAAATCATTATGTGATGTATTCTCCTGCATTATGGGATAATTTCCTAGAAATTTAGCATCAGTGGGATATACTGGTGAGATTGTCATAATGCACATACCTCACAACTCAACCTGTTCTGTCAGTTTCCTGATGCTACCATCACTCACAACATCTGTGAAGAGAGGATGGAAAATGGCCAATCCCAAACTGATAAAGTCTTCTCAACTGTTTCCCCATGGCTTGTTCATAGGGCTGCAGCTGGTATTCCATCCATGAGTACCAGAGATCTGTGTATGTCCGCTAATAGTTGTACTGTCATACTTGTTTTCCATAGGCATGCATATTTTCATGAAGGGTAGAAGTTGCTTTTGTTGTATATACTTTCTTGGTCTCAATTGGTGGAGTCTCAGATGGCCGTCTGGCATATCCTCCCCTGATTTCCTAGATAATTTCCTAGAAAGTGAACATCAGAGGGATATACCTGTTGGGCTGACATAGTGGACTTACCTCACAGTTCAAATTATTCGTTTGGTTTCCAGATTCAACTGTTCCTCACACTATCTGTGAATAGAAGATAAAAAATGAACAAATAGCACCTGATAAATTCTTGTCTACTATTACAGCGGGGCTTATGAATTTCACATGGGCTGGTATTTCACTCATGAGTACCAGGAATCAGTGTATGTTTACTAGTTGTACTATCCTACTTGTTTTTCATACACATGCAGTGTCATGCAGAGAAGAAGGTGGTTTTGTTTTATTATCTTTTCTGGCCTAAAACCGTGGGGTCTCAAGTCACAACCTGATATGTCCTCCTGGTTTATGGGTGGGATAATTTCCTAGCAACTGAGCATCAGAGGGACATACCTGTGGCACTGACATAATGCACTTACCTCACAGCTTGAACTCTTCATTTGGTTTCCAGATTCTACCGTCACTCGCAATATCCGTGAAGAGAGAATGGAAAATGGTCAACCCCAACCTGATAACATCTTGTCAACTGGTCCCACAGGACTTATTAATATGGCAGCAACTCCTATTCCAGCCACAAGTGCCAGAGATCTCTGTATGTCCACTTATAAGTTGTACTGTCCTACTTGGTTTTCATATGCATACATAGTGCCATGAAGGGAATAAAGTGGTTTTGTTGTGTTATCGTTTCTGGCGTAAATCTGAGGGGTCTCACATCACCACCTGATATATCCTACTGTTTTATGAAATAGTTTCATAGAAACTGAGCACCAGAGGGATATACTTGTGAGTTGGCATAATGCACTTACCTCACAGCTCAGCCTCTTCCTTTGGTTTCCAGATGCTACAGTCACTCACAATGGCCGTGAACAGAAGATGGAAAATGTCCAACCAGCACCTGATAACGTGCTATTGACTCTTCGACCACAGCTTATTAATATGGCAGCCACTGGTATTTCATCCATGAGTACCAGGGATCCGTGTAAGTTTGTTCATTTGTATTGCTGTCCTACTTGGTTTCCACGTGCATGCACAGTGTCAAAAATCATACAAGGTGGTTTTGTTGTATTGTCTTTCCTGGCCTCAATTTCAGCGGTCTCATATGGCAACCTTATATATCCTCCATTTATGAGATAATTTTCTAGAAAGTGAGCATCAGAGAGATATACCTGTGTGGTTACCATAACACACTTAACTAACAGCTCAGCCTCTTCATTTGGCTTCCAGATGCTACCATCACTTAAAATGTCCCCAAGGAGAAAATGGAAAAGAGCCAACCCCAACCTGATAACGTCTTGTCAACTGCTTCAACAGGGCTTATTAATTTGGCAGGAGCTTGTGGTTTTATTGTATTGTCTTTCGTAGGTGAAGTTGTGGGGTCTCAGATCACTGCCTGGTATATCCTCCTGCTTTACGTGATAAATTCCTAAAAACTGAGCATCCAGAGGGATATATACATGTGTGGTTGGCATAATGCACTTACCTCACAGCTCGACCTCTTTATTTGGTTTCCAGATGCTACTGTCAATCACCATGTCCATGAAGCAAGGATGGAAAATGGCCACCCACAACAGGATAACGTCTTGCCAAATGTTCTATCTGGGTTTATTAATGTGGCAGGAGCTAGTATTCCAGCAATGAGTTCCAGGGATCTGTGGTGTATGTGTGTTTTTTACTTATACTGTCCTTCTTGATTTCCATATGCATGCATAGTGTCATCAAGGGAAGAAGGTGGTTTTGTTTTATTATCTTTTCTGGCCTAAAACCGTGGGGTCTCAAATCACAACCTGATATGTCCTCCTGGTTTATGGGTGGGATAATTTCCTAGCAACTGAGCATCAGAGGGACATACCTGTGGCACTGACATAATGCACT